ACTGAGAAGCTTAAGCCACTTCTGCCTGAGTTCGATCCCCGCCTGCCCTGGAGGAGATCCACATGGCGCGGCAGACCTCTCCTGGCCCGCCCGCTAGACCTCTCCTGGCCCGCCCGCTGCTCCCCTCAGCAGTGGACTTTGATCATCTGCCTGTTCTGCTCCCCACTCTGTCCCTGGTGAATCCTCTCACCCTCCACATCTCTGGCCTGTACCCCAGTTCTGTATGAATAAATAAAATCTTTTTAAAAAAGGCAGTTTCTTCCTCCTGTAGGACCAGCAGGGACACATCCCCGTACCTGCACACCATGGTTCTTCTAAGCCTGGTAGAGAAATCTCAACAACATCAGTTGGATAAGCAAAAGACCAAATTACATACACACCCGGCGAGAATTTTCCATGGGTGTAAGTTCTGAAGTCAACGGAGCAAACTAGAGGCTTTTTGTGCCAAGTTGAGGAATGGGGTGGGGGTCTGACAGGAAGGCTCACAGGACAGAACCAGATGTTTGGTAACCAGATGTTTGTCCTGCCAGGTAGAACAGCTCCTAACGAGAAAGGTTACTTCTGGCAATCTTCATTCTTCTAGGTAGTGAAGGGAGGGAGTAATAGAACCTGTGGAAGAAGGGTCTTGACCGACCTCAGCTCACAGTGACCCCCATGCCCAGATGACGCATTTCGGAGGGCCTGTTCCCAGCATCTTGGGGCGGCCTCTCTGTACACTTTGGGGAAGGCTAGCCCTCATTCCTAAAGAGAGGACTGATGCGGGGAAACACAGATGGTGGAGGTGGGAGGTCTGCGTCTGGGCCAGCCTGTGAGTGGAGTGGCCACTGGAATGAACTCAAGCGCAAGGGGAGAAAGCAACAGTGATAAAGACCATGGAAATAATGCCAAATGTCTTAAGTTCAATATTGGCTTCCTAAGGGCCTCACCTACCCCATTCTGTGAGAGACTCTGTCTTCCTCTTTCCTTTAATTCTTTTGTTTTTAAAGATTTGTTTTTTTATGCACATGGAACTGGGTACAGGCCAGAGTGCAGGGGCGGTGAGAGGCTTCACCAGAGACAGAGTGGGGAGCAGAACAGGAAGATGTACTGAAATATGCTGCTGAGGGGAGCAGTGAAGAGACAGGAGAGGTCTGCTGCGCCGTGTGGGTCACCCCCAGGGCTGGGAATTGAGCTCATGCTGAGGCAGCTGTCACCAGCTCTGTAGTGCTGTGCTTTAACTGGTTGTGCCACCAGGGAGGCCCCTCCTTTCATTTCTTGACTTTCTCTTTCCTTCCTTTCCTCATGGATTATTTTTATTCTGTTATCTTGGGTACATCTTGTAAGCCGCAAGTCTTTTTTGGGAATAGGATCGGATTATGAACACATACATTAGAATTGCTTTTACAAGGTAAATTGTAATCACTTTGTTTATTATTTTAAATCACTATTTTTGTTCTCCAGATAGTTCTGGAGACTTTAATCTGTCCACTTCTCCTAGTGTCTTAAATGCTGGCTACCTGATAGTGATGTTTAAGCTTGAGATTGAAAAAGCTTTTATTTCAAGGAACGTTCTCCAAAAAGCAGACTTTTCAAGGAAAGAAACTAATTTTGTTTTCCAGATTAAAACACTGGAGATTCATACTGACTTGCCTCCATGACCCACTCTTTTTTTTTAAGTAATTTTTTTATTGGTCAGGGTGAGAAATAATGAAACCTTTTTTTTTTCTTACATCGTTGTTTATTTTTATACAACCCTTGGTTTCTCCCCTCAAGTGTAGTCCCCACAAATCTTCCACCAGCACATCACTCCATGCATCGTCACCCTAATCCCTGTGCTCTTCTGTCTCCTACTTTGACCCCTTCTCTCTCCTCCCCTGCTGTTTGTCTCAGATCGATAATTTGCTGCTAGTTTTGCCTTTTTTATCCTGAGCCTTTGTTAAGTTTCCGTTCATTCCTCCTATAACTGAAATCATCTGATATTTTTCTTTTTTCCCTCTGGCTTATTTCACTGAACATGATCCCTTCCAGCTCCATCCACATTGCTGCAAGTGGCACAAGTTTATCTTTTTGATTACTGAGTAATATTCCATTGCTCACTCTTAAAAACAAATAAGTATACTTAATTCCCCTCTGAAGAAACTCAAAATGCTCACAGGCACGATATTATTAGGGAGAAAAAGAGTAGAAACTTGAATTAGAACGAACCTGGTGACCACTGTTCAATATTCTCACAACCCCTGTTTAGATCTAATTTATTCATATTCAAATATTTAAATTATTCATAGTTAAGTTATAACATTAATAAACAAAGGTTCACTCATGGTATACCTTGGGGTCTGGATGATATTGGAAATGCCTGTTTTTCTTTGCTTGTTTTCTTGCTAATGAAAGCAATAACTGTTTGTCATAGAAAATATGTACATAGATATAAAGAGCGAATTTCACCTCTCCTAAATCTTTTCAATAGTCTCCTGTTCTGATTTCATGGCCAAGATATGCTCTACCCTTGTCTCTCTGGAGACAATAATTTCAATTTATTGTTTCTCCCCCTGCTTGATTCCTCGAGGTCTTTTCTCTCCCCTTCCATCTGGTCCTCATCAGAAAGGCCTCTGACAGCGTCAGGCTGCAGGAAGCCGCGTGGAAGAGCTTGAGGTCTCAAGGTTAAGCCGCCAGTCTGTGCCCAGCCACAGCATCGCCCCGTGTGGGACAAGCCTCAGCCAGGCCACCGGCCCTCCCTCCCTCCCTGCAACTCACTACTCCTAGGGCCTCTGCTCCACCTCCATTTCCATTTTACTCCCAGAGGGGTGTGCCCGGTGGTGTGAAATGTTTGGGGAGAGAAGAATCAAGTTCCATCTCAAGCAGCTTCCACCAAATCCTCGCCTCCCTCCACTCTGCTTAACCTTCTGACCCAAAAGAAAAAGGCCTGTTGGTACCAGCTCCTGAGCCTTTGGGGGGGCTGGGAAAGGGGGGGCGGTTTGCAGCTTCCCCGTCACTGGCCGGAGATTGGCACTTTAGCTTCTGCTGAGCCGATTGCACTGTCCATCAGCTGTGCAGTTCCCAATCTTGTTACTGCTGACACCTTCTCCGCTCCTACTTTCTCCGTCTTTGTGGATTTCTGTTCTTTCAAAAAATCTTTTAACTAGAGTCCTGGCTTCCGCCGGGAGGGAGAAAGCTGGCTACGTTTGTTCAGTCTGTCATGATGACCCACTAGGTCTTCAATTACACTGTAAATTTTATTTCCCCCACAACCCGACGGCCGTCTCACTCTTCTTCCCCTCCACTGGTCCGAGACTGTCAATAAATTATCTCGCTCCTTTGGCTCTCGCGCTCCTGATCTGTAAAATAAGACTAGTCCTTGCCCTGCCTGTCTTATAAGCTGGTGCTCCGGGAGCCCAGAGCTTCGCATTCGTCAAAGGACAAAATAACCAGCCGGACGTGCAGCTGTGCCCAGCAAAATCGGACCCGAGGGTGACGGCGGGTACCCCAGCAGGGCAGGTATCTGGTTTGCATCCTCCTCTCCAGATCAACAGCTGGCAGGACCCTCCGCTTCTGCTGAAGAAGCCCGTGGGCAACAGCGTAGGGCACCTCTTGATAATTCGTGTGAAGGGCCGCCCCCCGCCCATTTCCTACCGGGACTCCGATCACATTATGGCCTCACACCGCTGGGAAGAGAAGTTCTCTTCATGTCTCTGCTTTGCTGCCTTCTCTGTTTACTCTCAGCAAAACGCTTTGCTTTCCTCCCACAACCACAGCTTCCCTCTTTCTGATTTCCCCTTCCCCACCCCTGTCCTGGACTTACCTCCCAGGGGTCTGCAGAACCCAGGAGCAAGGTCAAGTGCGGCAGCAGGCAGCCTGGCCTGCACAGGGCGTCTGTGGTGCTGCGGGGCCCCGGAGCCGCCTCCGCTCAGAGGGAACCACTGGTGAACTGTCCCGGCCCGCTAGTCCGGACGGGTTGGCCCATCGAGAGGGGTCCGTGTTCACTGCGGGCGCAGCTCAGGCCCCCTGGCTGGGGTCTGCTGTGCTGGCCGAGGACGCGGGAGCCCGAGGGACTAAAGCTGGTGGCCGTGGGGCAGTGGCGGGGCCCGGAGGCCACAGCTGACAGGCGTGTTCCCCTCGATAGCCGGCCCGCTTGGGGGTGGCGCATGCACCCCAGGAACCTGCTTGGGAAGCGTGTTTAGGTGAGGCCCCCAGGGGCTCTCGACAGTCTCCTCTGGCACCAGGCCTCCTAAACGAAGGCTGTGGCGCTGACGACCCGACCTCTTGGGCCACTGCACATGGCCCCGGCGCCTGCCTCTCCCCACTGGCTGGGCAGAGCGGGAAACAGCGGTGGCTCTGGGGGTGCTGCTGGTCCTGGGAGCTGAGACCTGCCTCCTGCCCCAGCCCCTGTTCACAGTGACAGGCGCAGGCTGTCCTCGTCCAGCCGCAGGGCCCACCTACTCCTGGGGCTTCCGTGTCTGACCTTCCATGTCTGGACAAAGTCCCTCCAGGCGGGGGCAGGACCAGGGGTCTTGAGCTTGATGGCAGGATCGGCTATGGCCCCCGATGGGTGAGAGGGGCCTGGGGGGGAATGGCCACCACATGACGTGTGTGGATTTGGAGGTGTTCCCCACAGAAACTTGGGGTGCTTGTTTCCCAGGGATGCGAAGAGATGCCCCAGGCTTGCTTGGGGTGCTGTAGTTGGTGCCTCCTTCCTTTGAGAGAGAAGATGCCGTGGGGTCCCCCAGGCTGCTCTGGCATTCTGCAGCCCCCGCACCACCTGGGCCCTGGGGCAGAGGCTCAAAGTGCCTTGGTCCTGGTTGGCGCCATCCGCAGGCGGGGCCGGGGCTGGCGGGCTGGCTCGATGTGGCTGGTGGATCCCACGGGGCCCGCAGGGCAGCCAGGGAGCTGGGACACGCGGGCCAGATGTGCCTCCGCAAAGCAGGCCTGCTTGTGCAAACCCACCTGCTCCGGCAGGTGCTCCTGGGCCCGGGACGCGTGGACCTCGCCCCCGGCTCTGACCCTGTCTTCTGCTTGCTTCACAGACCTGCGCAGGATGACGGCCGGCTTCATGGGCATGGCGGTGGCCATCATCCTCTTCGGCTGGATCATCGGCGTGCTGGGCTGCTGCTGGGACCGAGGCCTTATGCAGTACGTGGCAGGGCTGCTCTTCCTCATGGGAGGTAAGGCTGCAGCAGGGCTGGGAGGAGGGGGGCACCAGTGAGTGGAGGGGTGCGGGCTCCTGGGATTCTGGGAGAAAGGCCGGGGCCGTGCAGGCTGCACACGAAGAGCGTGCTCTGTGGGGACTCTTCTCATTTGTGCAGTCGTCAAGCATTGCGTGAGGTCTGCTCAGCGGCACCTCGCTGTACCAGCTCCTGGGATGCAAAGCTTAATCAGAGCTGGCCCTGCCCCTCGAGGGTCTGACTGCTGTGTGGGTGAGGTGGTGGCTGTGCCCTGGAGCGGGGTCCGGAGGGACACACAGGCATTTTAGGCACCTTGAGACTGTGGGGTGGGAACCAGGTGCCGCCCAGACAACGCCCCCTTCAAAAGTCTACAAGCTCTTTGGCTGTTTCTTTACAAAGTGCAGTGCATACTCAATAAAAGAGCCTGAAAACCCCCGTCCTAGGTGTTGGCCTGAGAGGAATGAAAACCTGTGTTCACACGAAAGTAGGGATACAGATGTTGGCAGTAGCTTTCTTCATAACCACTCCAAGCGGAACTAATTCAATGCCCTCCTGCTGATGGAGAGATAAGCACATTTTGGGGTGGCCAAGCAGGGGAATAGGACCCAGCAACAAGAACCACTGAAAAACACAATGACTGGCCGAATGGCAAATGCAGCATGTGAAGTAAAAGCAGCTCGACTTAAAAAGCTAGAAAGCCTGCAATTCCATGCACCCAGAAAAGGCAAAATTATAGGAACAGAAGACATGGGAGGTTGCAGAGTTTGGAAGGGGGAGGAGTGGGCAATTATAAAGGGGTGTCGTGGGGGAGGTGGTGGAACCAACTGTCTCGTCTCTGGTGCTGGCTGTGCGCCCGCGAGCATTTGCCTGAGCTCACGGAACTCTGCTCTGCCAGGAGTGAATCTATGGTTTGTAAATCTTCAAAAGGGAAGTCAAACAAGAAAAGAAACTTAAGAAACATGTCAATTATAAACAGGAACAAATCCCCAAAGCAAGTGTATCTTCATCCTTGATGTAGGGGTCCCCTACGACTACTAAATGCTGCTGCACTTCCCAAGGGGGGGGGGGGAGCCTGAGCTTCTCCCGGGCACATGTCTCCCCTGCTCGTGCCTCAGAGCCAGTTCAGCCGGCTTAGAGGGGTTTAGACCAGGCGAGGCAGATGCTCTTCGGGAATAGGTCGAGTCCACGGGAGTGAAGTTCATGCACGGCAGGTGCACTGCTCTCCTCCCTGAAGAGCGAGAAGGTACTTTCTGGCCTCGGGGTTTGAGGCTCAGGCCAAAGCAGTAGCTGAACAGGGCGGCCCCTCCCGGTCCCCTCTGGGAGAAGCAGACCCAAGCATGGGTGCAGCTGGGCACAGCAGGGTGGGGCTTGGACAAAGGAATGGGGAATATTCGTGGAAGAAAGCCCTGCAGGCTGACCGTGGTCACTTAGAGTGGGGCCCCGGGCCCAGGGCAGCTCCTTCTGAACTGCCCACCCTGGTTTCTGAGCCAAGGAGGAGCCAGCTGGGGAAGGAAGTGGGGTCGCCCTGGGTGTCCAGGGAGACCTCTGCCTGGGAATGGAGGTGAGTGGGGTGCAGTCCTGCTTGAGCAAGCGGGGTCTTCAGAGAGCCACCAGTCCCCCATAGATGCAATGCCTGTTTTATGCAGAGCTTGGGGAGGAAGGGCATGACACCACTCTTTCTAGTACTTTCCAGCCCTCCGCTGGTCTCCCACAGAGACAGAGCCCCACAGTCCCCTTGCCTGTGTCCTGGTGAACAGGGCTCACGCAGCCCTCATCTCCTGGCCTGCGGGGGCCACAGCGGGACCCTCCTTGTGCCCACCTTCCAACCCAAATCTTACCTGGACCCCGAAATGTGAGGAGACAAAGCCGCGTATCTCTTGTGGTTTCTCTCTGAGGCTGGTTTGGTTGTGCAGAGCCGTGTGAGCCCTGCCGGATGGGCACCAGTAAAGCCGGGCTGGCCTGGGGCTCTGGAGAGGCCTGCACGAATCCCAGCAAAGCTGAGCAAACAGCCCTGGGCAGAGCGGGATCCCCAGAGCCAAAGCCAGACTCTTCCATCCCTGTTCCTTCCTTGGTTTTTCTAATGCCAGAATGTTCTGGCTCCCCGCTGCCCAGGTGGGGGCCTGGGGCACACATCTGCCTTGTGCTCCTCTCCAGGACACCTCAACTTTTCGGCTCAGATGACTTCATTCTGGGCCACAGCGGCATCTGTGACGGGTCATGTCTCTGGTCCTGCCAACCACACATCGCTGAAGCAGGGGCCCTGGGGACACTCCCCGCTCACCTGAGACCTTGGGTGGGAACTCTGCTCTGAGGCAGTGGGGAGCAGGAGGTACCTGAAGCCCTGCACCCCTACCCTTAGCAGCCTGGGGGCCTGGGGAGGGCAGTCTGCAGGCCCTGGGCTCTGTGGCCACTCATGGTCTCCCTGCAGGGTGAAGGAGCAACAGCCTGCTACCCTCTTGCCTGGGGTGTGGTTCTTTATTGCACACATTCCAATCAGTGATTGGAATTTATTTAATAATTTAATTTCACATATATTTTGGGATCCGGAAAATACTTATATGTGTACATTAATATAATAATCGTAATAAAGTAAAAAAGAATATCAACTAACAGCTGGGAAGCTTTCTTAAAAATCCAGAGGCTGGCCCTCCCTGGTGGCGCAGCGGGTTAAAGCACAGCACTGAGAAGCTAAAGCCACTTCCGCATGAGTTCGATCCCCGCCTGCCCCGGAGGTGACCACATGGCGCAGCAGACCTCTCCTGACCCGCCCGCTGCTCCCCTCAGCAGTGTACTTCATTGATCTGCCTGTTCTGCTCCCCGCTCTGTCTCTGGTGAAGCCTCTCACTGCCCCTGAGTCTCTGGGCTGTACTCCAGTTCTGTATGCACAAATGAATAAATCTTTAAAAAAAAAAAAAATCCAGAGGCTGGAGCTATAGGAGCTGAAGCCCTATAGCTTGGGGCAAGGCTGTCGTCAGGTGCAAACAGGGGTTGGAGCCAGAGGAGTGCCAACTTGCGATTCTCTCCTGCTCTAAAATGCTACTGTGCTGGGGATGAACCAGTGGGCCAGGACCTGGCATGGTCTGCTTGCTTCCCCCCCCCACTCTACCAGCTTGTGGTGTTCCCAGAGCCCCGTGCAGGTAGTAGTTAGTGGGGCGAACAGCATCCGTGTGCCCTTTCACCCCGCAACTCCTTGGCTCAAGGCCTAGGCCACGGATATTCTTATTCAGATGTACAATGAATGGACTAAGGTGCTTAGGGCAGTGTGGCTTGCAATAAACAAGAGAAGTATTCGAAATGTTTATCAAAAGGATGATTCAAGAGTCAGTAATCAAAAGCTAATTATTAATCAAATTATGATGCATTCATGTTAAAGAATTGAGCAATATTACTCTATGCCTGGTTCTCCCAGAATGAGATGCATATCGATAGTATGCAAATATCATCAAAGTGCTGTAAGTAAAACTGTCAAATTTTAAAAAAGCTGTATTCTCAGGCGATGGGCAGACACGGTTATTCCTGTGGGACCACCCAGCCGTCCTCCATATTTTAATTCTTTTCATTTCCTGCACACACGCTAGTTTCCAAAATGCTTGTCACGGGTTTCGGTTGAGATTATACCAGCTTAAAACATTTATTATCTCCTGGTTTCCGAGGATCAGAATTCCAGACACTGCTGGGTTCTGTTGAGGGTCTCACGAAACGGCACCCGAGTGCCAGGGTCCAGACATCATCTGAAACAGGGTTCTCGCCCAGGGTCACTGAGGCAGTGAGAACTGTTTTCTCTCAGCCATAGGACTTGTGGAAGTTGCTTGTTCAGTGCCATCAAATCTTTTTTTTTTTTTTTCAATAATCCTATTTCCAAGAGCAGTTTCAAATGGACAGAAAAACTGAGCAGATAATACAGAGTGTCCATATGAGCCTCTGCCCGTAGGGTCTACGCAGTCACGGGAACAACTTCCCTCTTGTTGACACACACCTTGGTCATCATTAATGAAACAATCCTGGCACTTACTATTTTTTTAAGATTTTTTTTTATGTATTTATGCACACAAGAACTGGGGTGTGTGCCAGAGGTGTGAGGGGTGAGAGAACTCACCAGAGACAGAGTGGGGAGTAGAACAGGCAGATGGACAGAAATGTACTGCTGAGGGGAGCAGCAGGAGACAGGAGAGGTCTGCTGCGCCATGTGGGTCACTCCCTGGGCGGGGATCGAACTGGTGCTGCAGTGGCTGGCGATAGCTTGATAGTGCAGAGACATTAGCCCTGTGCCACCAGGAAGCACCCCTCCATGGACTTTGTTATTAACTGACCCCACAGTTGAGATCACTGAGTTCTTACCTGTGGACCTTTTGCCGACGGCCCTCAGCACAGCCCGTCCTGTCCCCATGCCTGCGTGGGCTCTCCATGGCTGAGACGCTTCCCTTCTTTTCGACGACGGGGCTGTTTGGACAGGGCTGCTCAGGTTTTGTGTGGGAGTTGCCTGATGCTGTGTCACGAGTAGACCGGATTCTGTGTCGGGACAGGAAGACCACCAAGGTCAGCTACCGTTTTCACCCTGTCATATTAGAGGTTCGACCTATCAGCCTGGCCTGGGACCCTGCCAGCGACCTTGCTCACCTGGCTGAGGTAGCGTGCGCCAGGTGTGTCTCCTCTGTGAACCTCCTCGTTTTACCTTGTTTCCAGATCATGCTTTTTGGAAGGAAGTGACTAAGCCGGCCTCCGGGAGAAGGCTGAGTTCACACTATTGGGGCGCACTAACTGCCTGTGAGGAATTTGGCTACGCCAGGGACCTGTCTCCTGTTTACTGACTGATTTAGCTCACGGGGACTCACGGGGACTTGCTTTCTACTCTGCTGGGCCATCACCCCGCACTGTTCCGTTTTCTCCATGTATTTGTTCCATTGTAAGCTCCAGCCTGGGAGCGCTCACAGCTGGCCCCTGGGTCTTACCTGTTCAGGGTGAGGTTTGGGTGTTGACGGTTAGTTGACTTTTTCCTTCTT